GGCTGGAGGAGAGCTGAGGGGCTGAAACGTGAAGCTCAACGAAACCTCGGGGCGGGGGGCGCGTGTCGGGGGCCGGTTCCAAACCAAGGGGGGAAGTCGGAGTGCTGGGGGTGTACGACTTTACGAAAACTTCCCTTTACGCTTACAAAAGGGAGGGGGAGACTCTGTAACGACTTCCGTTTCATCGCCCCAATTTCTCTTTTGAGCTTGGACGGCTAAAGTGGGAGTCTCTTTGGGTCAATAGTTTCCTGAATTGTGGTTCAAGGAAAAGGCGGGTTTAGATTTAATCGGTAGCAAGCGTCTTCTCGCTACCCCTTTCCTATTATTTTCATCGCCCCAATTTCTCTTTTGAGCTTGGACGGCTAAAGTGGGAGTCTCTTTGGGTCAATAGTTTCCTGAATTGTGGTTCAAGGAAAAGGCGGGTTTAGATTTAATCGGTAGCAAGCGTCTTCTCGCTACCCCTTTCCTATTATTTGAGGAATTGTTCCTTGCTCGCCGGCCTGCTTTGATGTGTTTCTCAGAGGCTGAGCTGTGACTCCGTTAACATCTGAGCCGCACCTCGCAGCCGGCCGGTTAGCTCAGTTGGTTAGAGCGTGGTGCTAATAACGCCAAGGTCGCGGGTTCGATCCCCGTACGGGCCACTCCTTTTAATGCCCGAGGAAAGGAAATCACTGGCTTTTACCTTTTTTCCCCCCCCCTCCCCCCTTGAGGAGAAACTGTAACACAGGAGTGAAGCTAATCACAGGGAAGGATTGACTTGCTGCTGTTCTTTCTATTAGCTGTTCTTTACCAAAGGAAAAAGCTTAAATCAGTAGAATAAGGGGGGAGGGATATGAGAACTGCTGTTACTGGGCTAATTCAGCTGCCTGCTAGCAGGAAGAGGAAAAAAAACCCCACTTTAAGCTCCCTGGCGGAAGATGGAGAGTCTGTCTTGGGAGAGTGAAAAGTAGCTGTAAGTGGCCTGGTTTCCACAAAGGCATAGGTGCTCAGTAGCAGCAGAGAGGGGAGGAAGCCAGCCCAGTTTTGTTGTCAGGAAGAGCAGAGTTTGGAGTGCAGAAAGTGCCACGGACTAGATTCAAGGACGGATTTAGGAGGAAAACTGCAAAGGATGGTCCTACATTGCTTTGCTCGTCTTACCCACCACCACCCTTGGGGCCAGCCAACACAACCTCTCAGTCCCATCTTGCAAGCGCGAGTGCCCTCGCTGCGGTTGTGAGCAATGACCGCTGCACTCCTGAGCCATCACCGCTGCACTGCTCACCAGGCCCTGCTGCGGGCTCCTCCTCGTTTCGGGAGGGGTGAAATATATGACACGATGAGCGGAGGGCAGCAGGGCACAAGCTAGCTATGCAGTGAGCCTTTCTCAGGCACAAAAGTCTAGGCAAAAGGTAGGTTTCTGCACAGGGCAGAAACCCACCAGAAGGCATTTGCTGGCATGTGCCAGGGAACTGCAGCACCCCACTCCTCGTTAGTATAGTGGTGAGTATCCCCGCCTGTCACGCGGGAGACCGGGGTTCGATTCCCCGACGGGGAGAGGCGCTGCCTTTTCCTGCCCACGGCTCCGCCGCGCCCCCCCCGG